CGGGTGACCCTGGAGGCGGGGAGTGGCAGCTAACTGGGGCTCCTAGCCTCTATGGCACAGCAGAGGCCTTGAATCCATTGTGCTCCTGAGGCTAAGAGAGGTGATCAGCTGACTGACTTCCTATTTGCTGGTGCAGGGGGAGCCCAGGACCATGATCCCAGGCTCCTTCTGTACCGGGAATAGGGTGTGATGGAGATCTGATCCTCTACCCAAAATTGCACCTCCTGCCATACACATGCAGCATGGTGGGAAGCATGATTGTTAGGACTGTAAATCAGAACCTATGGCACCTTTAAATGACCATCTGCCAGGGGCCTATTTCTTATCATTCCCTCTCGTTCCTTTGGACCCCAGGCCTCTGAACATGGTGAATTCAGCTGTCAACTCATCTAGAAAATGAAACTGGATTTTGCTCTAAACTGCAGTGGCAGATGAAATATGTGCTCTGCTGAAGGAAGTTTTATAAACATCTAGATGATTGATAAATATACTTTTTTATTACCTGTGTTATGATCTTTTGGAAGTCAGTCACTTTTCTCTCAGATGCTTTGGGATCAGATTGAAAACTACAAAGTTTGAAAATAAATATTAGAACAATATATGGACATCATAGGCCAATTGTCTACTTTGCATAACATAGGCTTAGATTTTTTAAAGTCACCTTGGGGATAGGAACACTCAATGTCCATCAATTTTAAAGGGAACTGGGCATTCATATCCTTGTGACAGCTTTGAAAATATGTGCCATGGCTGCTACTCACATAAGAAGAGCAAGTGATTGTCAGTTCTCAGTTTGCCAACATTTAAGGCAATACAGTCATTTTTAGATCATCTAAATCCATCTCCTGACTGGATAGTTACTGAGGGTGAATAGTAGGGCTATGCGAAGCTGCAGTCACTGATTCGATTCAGAATTTGGCCTGATTCAGCAGCCTAATCTTCAAATCTGAATCAAATCGGGAGACCCATTAAAAGGTCCAAATCAAATCCAAAGCCTGTGAATCGATTCAGAAAAGATTCAGAGATTTGGATCCACCACAGACAGGCAGGCACAGTCGGGCAGCTGCAGGTTCTCCCCTGGCTTCTCTGGCTGTGCCTGCCTCTCCCCAGGCAGGGGGAGCCGCCAAGAGAAGCCCCCATGGCTGCCCTTCCCGGCCCCATCCCCCACCCAACCTGAGCCCCCTGGCACTTTAAGAAAAAAAATAAGCCCTTCACTAACCTGCTGCAGCAGGGGCTGTGGGAGCTCTGGGGCCTCCTGGCAGAGCCCCCCACCATGCAGACCCTGCACCCCGATCGCCCCCCTCAACCCCACCCCTGATGGCCCCCCAGCCCAGCCCCAGCAGTCCAAAAATAAAACAAAACAAAACAAAGCAAAACAAATTAACAAAAAAAACCCGCACTCACTGGCAGTCACCTGGCCCCAGCATGCCAGCAGTTAAAAAAAAGCAAAAAGCCCCACACTCACCAGCTGCAGCAGCAGGGACTGGGGTCTCTGGGCCCTTGTGGCAGAGCCTCCCTGTGCAGCATGGGACAGTGGAGCTTGCTGATCCCCCCTGCCTGGCACCCATGTAGTAACTTCTCCATGGCGCAGGTGCAGCGCAGCTCAGCAGGGCGCTGCGTGCTGTCTGGGCGCTGGGGCTGCTGGGGCTGAGTAGTGCCAGGCTCCAGCTGACACA